CTTGTTAATTATCTACGCTAATTATCATTGTCTTAGCGTGTGTAGTATTGGATTAGTTTTGATTTAACATTTGATAACAATATTGATTTTTTTGTAATAGTTAATCGTTTAAGTTAATTTTGGATTTATAATCGTTTAATTTTTTTTATTATTTTACTTTTATATTTATTTCGGATTACTTCGTGAGCTAACTCATTTAGATCACGATCTAGATGATTTGAGTTCGAACTTATGTTTTTAAGCTCATATAATATTAAGCTGATATAATAAATGAGCTGAACCGTGAAAGACTCTAGCTCGCCATAAGGTGAGTTGAGCCGAGTGAGATAGCTCAACTGACACCACTAGTTATAATGGTTATTATCTAACCTATTTTATTAATATCAAAAAACAAATTACTTTTTAAAATATGTTATTTTTGGAAGCTATTTTTGAAAAATCAATGATGATTTTGAAAAGGTAAAATAAAGTTTTGGATTTGTTTTTCATTTCCTTGTATTATACTAATAATAATCTTTCTTTCGGATTGTTCCTTTCTTATCTCTCTCGCATTGTTGTCATCTACTTTCCTCCTCTGAATTTTTAGAGATTTCTTCTGTCTTCTCTTTCTTTGACCTTCCTCTCCCTTTCCCCAATTCCTGCGTCCCACATTTTTTTCTCGGGAAAAATTCAAAGGAAGGAAGAGAAAAAAGGCCTGTGATATCTCCGATCGGCTCCGGTACTCCCCAAAATCACGCACGATCCGTTCGTTATTCCTCGCCTGTGTGTTGGCGCAACCCCTTTGTATCAAATTTTGGATTCTGGTGAGAAAAATTAGGATCTGAGAGAAAACGATGATGACGAGTATGGAAGGGATGGTGGAGAAAGGAGTATTGGATGATATCATAAGGAGATTGTTGGAAGGTAAAGGAGGAAAACAGGTTCAGCTTTCCGAGAGCGAGATTCGTCAACTCTGCTTCAACGCTCGTCAAATCTTCCTTTCTCAGCCCATCCTCGTCGAGCTCCATGCCCCAATTCGCATCTGCGGTAATCATGATTCCTCTCTCTCTC